TTAAATGTGAAAAGTAAAGTCTTTCCCACCAGCCTCCTAGCACCTGGAAATAACTTTGTCCACTGCATCAAAATCCTCTTAACACTTACAACACACTTAATTCTCCTCCACTTTCCCTGTAATACAAATAGCTGGGCATGTCAGGGACAACTTTCAAAGTGTGGTGTGTACACAGCTGGAGTACCAGGCAGCCACTCTGATGTGACTGTGTCACTAGAACAGGAGGTGACAAATGGGCTGGGTGACAGTTCAGCAGCTGCCTCATGAAGTTAGGGAAATAAAGAGTCACATAGTTTGGGTTTTCTAAGCAATTAGTTTGGTGTGACCCAAAGAGCTAAAAATCTTTATTCCTTTAGAATATGGAAGTAACACCAGATACTGCTGATGAAATACTATTTTGGTCATTTTAACATAGATATAAATATCTTTTATTCCTGAAATGAATTACCATTTGACTTTACTCCCTAATAGTTTTCACAGTCAGTTCAGAGAAGAAAATGTAATGTAAGAAAGAAAAGCATTTGGAAATGAGCTAACTTCTGCCCGACTTAGAGACTCAGCCAAGTTTAAATTGCTACTTTGAGATATTTTACTAGAATTCAGGCCCATTGATAAAGTGACAGTGCTAGAATCTGGTAGATTTGTTACTCAAAATGTATTTTCATATGATTTATAATGTCTGAAAAGTTAGATATCAAAGTACTTTTGGTCTCAGATTTGAGAAAATGGATATTCTCAAGAAATGAAAATGAAATTTAGGCTCATTAATATAGAGTATACTACTTATATTTTGTGAAAATGCTTCAAAATTCTAACATTTCCCCATTTGATATTTGAAAATTTTTAATATACAGAAAACATTATCATTTTATGTCAGCTTATGTTATGTCCCATAACATAAATTATAGCAAAATGAGAGTTAGGGAGAAGTGTTATGACCTTTCTCATTGTTTAGGATCACATATGTCACCATCTTTCCCTTTTTGTTGTGGCTGCTAGCAAGCTCACACATAAGTTAATCTCACACTTGACTACAGAACTTTTTAAAAAGTGTAGATGATCTAACGTGACTAACATCATCTATGGCTTAACTATTTTTTTTTATCATAAAGTATGACGTTGTTATCAAATGTTGCCTTTAGTCGTTTTTTTTAAATTATTAGGTATGCAAAGAAAAGTCGAATGTTTTTTGATATGAAAATGCTACCTAAGCCAAAGACTGTCCATAAGCAGGTGCACCAATAATGATCTCATTACATATATTGTTAAATTAACCCTTTGAAAACTTTCAGAGTCATAGTAATGCTTAATCTATTGCAGTAGACCAATTCAAATTACAAAAGGGAATTTATGGCTTGTGCTCATATACACAAATTAATAGAAAATACAATGTCACGAAAACATAATTTTTTAAAAGTATAAATATCTTCTCAAGAAAGTTTTAAAGTAGAGGTCTATAAATTCTACATTTTAGAATTGCAATAGGTATGGCTTCTTAATATGAATAAATCAAACTCAAGTTGACTTGTCTACTTACTATTTAAAAGTTGTTTAATAATGATTGGAATCATGATTGTCCCCTTAAGATATTAAAGGCATTCATTACACCAATGTCATGAAAATCCACAATGTATATAAATGATAGGTTTAACATATTTTCAGATATTGCTAGTAACTTTCTCCAAGGATGCTGTCCTGAAGGGAGCTCACAATGGCTGCCAGTTTCCCTGATTCCTTGATCTGTTTATTCTGAAATAAGTCTCTTAGACATTCTTAGGAGGTAACACAAACTCTGGGGTGGGTCACAAGGCTCCACAAAACTGTCTTTTGGTATTCATATACACCTCTCACACAGGCCATGCCCAGATAAGAACAAGAAATCTCTAAAAGGTTCATCATCCTGAATTGACAACTGACAACCACAAGTCAATGAAACATAAGTTTTATTTTTCTTTCAATTCAACATAATAAATTCCTCATGTGACAATATGAAAAGCAAAAAAAATAATAATTGCATATAGAACTGCCATACTAGACAAAGCTTTGTAAGATGATATTTATAAACTTTCTTTATATTAAAATGTGATTGAATCAATTAAATAGTTCTCCAATTTCAGTCAGAGAGTATTGGTAAGTGAAAAATATTTGACAAAAATCAAGGATTTCCGTGTGTTGATGTCTACCAACCTGATTGTATTTTCTAAAACATGGTCCTAGACAGACCCAGACTGAACATGTTAAACAATAGTGACAAAATTTGATGTGCATTTTAGCAAATGTAATTATCACACAATAGCATATACTGTTGCTAAAAAGCATGGAAAATGAAGCATACACATAGAATAATTAGCTAATAAGTGAGGGCAGTGGCTAACTGTACTTAGATGTATTTTGGGTGCTATCATTGTCTCAGAAGAGAGGAATAACTAGGATAAGATCTAATTTATTCTAATTATAATCATATTCACCAGAGGAAGTCCTAGTTGGCCAGATTCACATTGCAAAGGGTAACCACACAGTAACCGTTGTCCTTCAGCACAAGAGTCCACATATTTGGAAGAAGCTGAAATGACTTAGTTTTGACTATTGTCCTCATTATCGGGGTCCGGTGGGAGGGAACAGCAAACAAAGCCACAGTATCCAAAACAGACACTGCAGTGCTAGTCTGTAGCTAAGGACTGAAGATAGTCCTTCTTACAAAATGGCCTCCAAGGCTAAACCAGATGAGATAAATGCTCACTGAAAGTCAAATCTCTCCGGGAATGAAAAATTATACAATGTAATACCTAAGATATATGTTCTTACTGCATTAAATACCACAGAGTTTTTAAATCTTCTATTTTGACAAATAGCTGTTTTGTGTATTTCTAATTTGTAAATACAATACAGTACTTCAAAGGTTTTATACACTAAATTTTTAGGCCACAATCATGAAAAGATATAACATAGAAATTTAGGAGCTAGCTGAAGGAAATGGAGTTAATATCCTCAATGAATCCTCATAGACTAGCATTATTAGCATTTTGGTACTCATGATAACATTTTTAAATGTAGTTGTTAATAAAAGTTCTTTAAAACTGTATTCTTCAAACATAACCAGGTAACAATGTGTACCATGTTATTTTTATTTTGCTCAGGAATGAATTGAGCCCGAGTTTGCATTGCTTACTGCCATTCCCATGACAGCAATCTCAATTAGTAAAACACTCCAACAAAGGCACAAAATAGAGAAATCTCCTAACCCAAAGCATTCTGAAGATATCACAGAGTCTTCACAGTTAACACTGTGATGAGCACAAACCCAGGGAACAGCCATATTGGACCATTCCTGTGGGTGAATTACACCTAATGGTTGTAAAATTTCCCTTTTGTTATGAGATGAACCGCACCCTACATGGCAGAAACGGCATATGCAAAATCACAAAGATTTCCTATTAATTTGGCCTCCAGTATGTCAACTTTCCACCATAGCACCAAAATAGTGGGCATTTAAGCAAACTAATGGATTTTATTGTACCTATTAGGGAATTTTTGTATGCAAACAGATCCTGTACTGATGCAGGACCTCATGTCCCTTATGGGAAGACAATGGTAACGTTAATATTGCATATGAAGGAGAACATGTTCGAAAATGTTCTTTAAAAGATCATCTGACTGAAAATTAAAATAACAGCACATATTTTCTAAAGGTTCTCATTAGGTTGTTAGCAAAACTATAATGAATGTTGTTAGAAACCATAATCATGCTGGGGCCATGCGTACTACATTAATCACCTTTTAGTAAGCATATACTTTCCACATAAATGTACATTATTGACAGAAATCTGCATCAAGTATATTCCTATTGCACTCTCTGAAATAAAAGACAAACCAAGGTCAAATGAAAAACAACCAAGTCCCATTCTTTGCCTTACCGCCACTCGCTCGCCACTCCAAAATTAACATCTTCTTTAATTAGGAATGTTTTGATGTTTAGGTAATTACAAAATTGCTTAAACACATACCATAACAGAACACTGATTTTTCTATTTGGAAATCAAATTATTGTAGAAGGAAGGATAACCATAGCTTATCTCTGGTGTGGTTAGCATGCTTGGCTTTCAATGGCAAAAGAGGTCTTTAGATCTAGTAGATGATATGGTTTTATTAGAAAAGAAAATTATCTTTTTATTGTTGTCAATTGCTCTAAAATTTTTCTTTAATAAAATTTCACAGCAATCTGCTCAAGAGGATATACTAAAGGCCCTTGATTATATACACCCTAAAGAATGTATTGTACCACAAAGATACATACCCAATAAGATTTTTTTCATCTGAAATTTATAAAGATAATTCTCCATGCTGACAGTGCACATTTCATCCATAAGTTTGAAGAGTCAAATGCTACCACAGCTGGGGGTTATTCTGCCAAATGGCTTCCAACAGGGACTACAGAGATGGAGGCTAGGAGGCATGTGTGTGTGTGCGTGCAGGAAAAAGCAGCAGACCTGATGGGAAATAGCCCTTCTCTGGAGTCATTTTTATCAATTACCATCCAAGTAAGCTAATCAAACATAGAGTCTCATGGAAAAAGCAACAATAGCAGGAAAGCAAATATTAAAGCAGCTGCTTGATTGCCTTCAGAGATTAAAACAAAAAGCCAGGGGTGAGGCTAATATATTTCTAAGGGATTTTCTAAGGCTGAGGGGAGGGGTTAGGGGCATACCTTTAAAAAAAATCATGAAAGGAACTGAGACAAGATTATAAAAAAGGGACCAAGTTATAGCGCGCCATGGGATTTTTAATCTGGCTACCTGTGGTTTCTGTAGTTAAAGCCTTATTCATCCTCCAAATGGGGGCGGGTGGGTAGGGGGAGAAAACAAAAAAAAAAAAAAAATCACATTTATATGTCAGTTTTGCAAATGATCAAACAGCGTGCATCAAGAAGAAAAAGAAAACATGAAACGCTGATGACTTTTTAAAGATAGACACCCGTTTTAGCAAATATTATTGATAATTACCTGTGCATCTCGTTTCTTGGACTCTTGAATTTGATTTTCGTGCTCCATATTGGCAGCGCGAAGCTGTTTCTCCAGGTTTTCAATTTCCCGTTCATGGTCTCGGACTAGGCTATCCTTCTCTGCGTTATGCTGCTGTAATAGGTGCGTCTTCTCCTGTTCATGCTCCAGCTTCAGCTCTACTATCTGATTGGACAATGAGGAGGACAGTTCATCAACAGAACATCCTTGTCGTCATGACAACTCATGTCCTGCTTAATTTTTCTCTAATTTCTCCAAGTTGAAAATTTTATTTTTGCGTCATTATTACCTCACCCTTAAAATATCTCCATTTGATGGGGAGCATTTTATCTAAAACTCATAATATTCAAGACACTTGTCATACTCAGGAAATCCTTTGCAATCTGTTGGCACTAATGTCTGAACATTGAAAAATTTACACAGAATGCTAGGTATTTCCTCCCCAAGAATTGGGTATTGCTGATCAGCAATGGTTGTAAACGGTTAATAGTCAGTACACTTTGCTTTCTGCTTGAATGTATACATATAAAAAGCAGCAATTAAATCGATCAGTTCCCTTTATGATTTTCCAATAAAAGATTTGTGCTAAATATGCATCTGGATTATTGTATATACAGTTGTCTTTTCGAAATAAAATGATAAATTTCAAAGCTCTATTATGTCTCTGTCAGCTACGGTATACCAACATAAACAGACGTTATGTCTTCCAGAAGGGTACCTGCTGTGCCGCAAGCCTGCGCCATGATTTCATAAAAAGCATTCTATTCTCAGGACCCTTTCCCAGTCCACTCCACACTGGAGACTGTGACCTTGGCCAGTCTTAGCCTCTCCCTGCTAGACTGAATGGCAGCCTGAGACCAAGGGCCTGGTTGCCGCAGCTTTGATACTAATCCTCCCAGACTGTGCACAATGGCACCCTACCTGGCCTGCAAACTATAGACAGCCAGGCTGTCTTTGAAGCAGGTGATGAATAGGGGACTGCAGGAAGCCAGCTTCCCCAGTGAACTCCAGGCCACACAGCTGCTAAGAACAGTCACTTGGATTTTTCTTCAGTTTTGGTGGATTTCGGGGGGGGGGGGTGCTGTTATTTAGAATATGTTGCGTTATTTTCGGCGTGAGAATCCATCTTCAAAAAAGCTAACAGTAGGAGCCTGCTTCAAATCGATCTTGTTTCCTGCAATGAATCACTAGACTACCTTATCTTAAAGCTATAGCATTCATTTCTCCAGTAATGCACACAGCACTAAATCTCAGAAGTCATTTTCTTATGAAATTTTAAGTTTTCAGTTCTAATTGCAAATCAAGAATTAAAACAAAAATTAAGTTTGCTTTAGATTAGAACCTATCTTTTAAACTGTTTAGAGTTGGAAGATCAATACATTTATAATTATTCATAAATGTGTTATACTATTTAGAAGAAATGTATGCTAACGCTTGAACATACCCACTTATGAGTATGTTAAAATACATAAATAATATGGAAAACCTATTTTTCATCTGAGGCCAAAGATGCATTCTAGTGTACTTATTTAAAATTTGGGTGTTTGTCACTCTTTTTTATTCCAATGTTAGCCGTAAAGAGAAAAAATAGTGTTTTTTTTTAAAAAATATGTATATACTAAGTACACCAAGTAGTAAATAAATGTTTTTTATTATTTAAAATAAATATGTCGCATTCTGTGACTCATACCACTATAATAGTAATCCCAAATGAAGAGAGAAATTAAAAAGTGACCATTATATAATAGTAATCCCAAATGAAGAGAGAAATTAAAAAGTGACCATTATTAGAACAGATTTTCAGCAGCTAATGGTATGAATTATTAAACTAGACTATCTCTAGTTCTCAGACACATTATTATTTCTAGTCAGTATTATAATAGCAAATATCATTATAATAAAAATTTAAAACATTAATCAAAATTATTCAAGCACATTCTACAATGAAGAGAAGTAGAAGGAAGCGTAGAAAGTTCTACTTAGGTCTTTGAGAACTTCTTAAAAATTGGGAGAATGGCTATGACTTAAAATTCATAGAGAGCAAATATTTATAAGTAACCAGTCAACCTGAGACTAAAATGGAGGAATTACCGAATATTTCCCTTCAAAGGACATATGCCAAGAAGTAGGAGTGAGGCCACTAGTAATAACGTCTAATTGTCTGTCTTCCCGTTATTTAACAATAGTTCATATACAATGTATTGTGGTTATATGCACCCCATTACTCTCTGGTATGCCCCCTTCTTTTCCTTCTGAACAGTGTCTTCTTCTCACCTAGTCCCCAAGTGATTTCATTAAAGAAAATGACATTACTTCCTCCAGCAACCATTTACAGTCATTAGCTCCTTAGGAAGAGACTGGAACACTGAGCACCTACTCTATTCATGATGGGAAGTTGGAGGACCAGTCTTGTGCATGCAGTTTGCTGAGTGTGGGTGGTTGCAATTTATTGGCTATGAGGCCTGTTCTGTTGGCAGGAATACACACTTGATACTATAAATCAGACCAAAGGCCTATGGCTGGGACAGCATGAGCCCAAGGAAGGAACAGACTACCGTTTTCTCCATAAGTGAACACACAGTCAGACAGCCATCTAAATGTTTACTCCCATAGCCTGATACAGCTTTTAGCCTGGGACAGAGATGAGTCCTTTTGTAGAGGGAAATGATTAAAGCAGAGACGTATATGTCATCAAACTTCTGAGAATAATGACTGAAGAGCACTGTCCTGAAAAAGACAAGTATATCACCTCCACATCCCTACCCACAAGGCCTGGGGCACAGTATAGAAAGGAGGCTGGAAAGATTTCAGGACACAGAGGACAGAGAAGACCGTCATGAAACACTACCATCCAGGTATGACACTACAAAACTCTTTTACAATCTAGTAATATTATGTTCCTACACAACTTCACTAACTCTCTGACCTCAGTATTCAAAAGTGTTCTGAGAGTCTATTCAATTATTCTGCATTGGTCAAATATGTTTCTTCACTAAGAAAAAAAAAAGGCCTGGAAAAAAGGAGAACTAATTAATAGAATTTCAATTGCAGAAATAGTTGTTCATAAATTGTTTGTTTAACATTCTGCCTATTGCCCAGTGAGTCTTCTTAAGGAATAAACCTCCAGGCTAGTGAGTCCTGGTAAGTGCAAAGGTTGGGAATGTGTGTTCCCTTGCACACTATGTGGCTAACTTCTAGATGTCATAAGCCTCTTCTGGACTCAGCTTAGGTTTTTCACTGTCAGATCCTCCCATCTTCTCTAAACAAATGGCAGAGTCCACAGGAAAATCTCAGATGTTCTGGGAATATTCTGAGGATGATATTCACAACCACAAAGGAAATCACTTTGGTAGAACTGTGTTAGAAACTGAACTTTTGCTAATCCCTGGTCCTTCATCAAGTGTGCTATGGTAAAGAAAGGTTCTTCAGATTCCAGCATGTTCCTTTTACTCATGAGCACAGCTCACAGCACATCTTCCTTATCTTGGACTCCTGGATACTTTGGGCGGAGCAACCAAGCCTAACAGAGCTAATGAAGATGAGGCGATGTGGGAAATGCACAAGTTGTAAAAACAGGACAACGCCCACATGGCAGATTCTGAGTGGTCAGTGAGATTCCAAGTCCTTTGCATATGCAAAGGGAAACAGGACATGCAGTGACAAAGATTAGCTAAAGAAGTCCCCACAAACAGCCACCAGGACTTCAGATTTCTAATCTAAAAGAGCTGAGGGAAGGGTCATACAAAAGCATGCTTAGACATCTATAAAACATGATATGGAGAATTAAATGACAGCTGGAGTGATGGTTGATTCAGTGGTTAAGAGTTCTTCTTACCCCTCCAAAAGACCTGGGTTCCATTCCCAGCACCCACATGAGGGACTCACAGACACATGCATCTCTAGCTCCAGGAGATTCCACATCCTCTCCCAGCTTTTAGAGCCATGACCACCCTCCCACACATGACATACATTAACATGGGCACATAACTAAAAATAATTAAAAACAAGTATTTTTAAATGAAAAAAGAAATAAAAGGACTTAGAAAAAATCAAACAAAACCAAAAAGGAAACGAAGGAATGGCCTTCATAATGAAGGGGGAAATATACCTTAAAAATCAGGAATAGTTATGGGACCATTCAACAAGAACATGAGTACAATGAAAGAAATCAAAACTCAGAAGATAAAAAAGAGAATAAACCTAATCTAAATTAGACACAATAATGAGCATGTATAAGCATGGCTGAAAACCAATTCAGGGATCCAGATAAAAGGCTTTAGAAAATCATAGCAAAGGTACAGGGAAGAATAAATACAGAGAAAGTAGAAAGAAAATAAGAAATCCATGTGGTGTACAGGTATAAAACTGAAAACTTCCCTAAACAAACCAGGACAATAATGCACACATCAGAAGTACATACTGCACACTGAGGAAAATTATAGTTGAGGAAAGAATGGCTCAGGGTTATCATTAGATTCAAATATGGATGGCCTCACACCCAAACCAATCTTAAAACGAGTTGCAGGTAAAATTTGAGACATTAAGAGATGACTAGAAAAGCCAAAAGCAACAGTTAGTGTCAAAGACAATGAGAAATTTACCCACAACTTTGGGGAAAGAAAGGCTGGCCAGAGAGTGTCATCTCCAGTCGAGCTGTCCTTTACAGACACTGATTATGTGTCTGCCACACAGTGACCACACTGAAAGCTCTTGCAAAGCCATTCAATGATGATATCCCATCACACGCAGAACCTCAATGAAAGTGATTTAAATAAATCCAAATCTATGTAACTGTAGGAAGGCTAATAAAACAGAATATATATGTTACAGAGCGTAATAATGGACAATCAATGCCATAAGTAACAGAGAGATGCAGCAAAAAAGTCTACGCAAGTCGAGTTTTGCAGTAAAGAATAACTAATGTCTTCAAAATATTGAAAGCACTGAAATCTCAATGTGTTAAAAATCAATATTTCTTTAACATTCTAATAACTCATCTCTTATATGAAGAAATAGCTCTCTAAACTTCAGAAATGCTTCAGTTTCTTTTATTCTTCATCCAAATTCATATAAAATTACATTTTACATTACAACAAAACTGGTTAAGTATGGCACAGTCTTGTTCTAAAAATCTGTTTTGTCTCTAACCTACTTATCCTTAAATT